TCAGCTTCCTGAGTGGCAGCCCTAGACGCTGGCCTTCAAGGATCTCTGAGCTGTGGCATGCCAGGAATGCATGGAGTGACACTCAAGGGAGATCAAAGCTGGGAAGAGCAGATGCTGTCTGCCTGATCCTTCCAAGGGAAACTGAGTTTTAAGAAAGAAAAAAGAAACAGTGTCGTAAAAATGACAACCCTGAGGGTGGGGGGCATGAGCAAACTGTAATGATATATGTGTACAAAAATGTCATAAGGAAACCACTAAATTATTTAATGTCTATATATTATGTTACTTTGAACACTCACTTAAAATGAAGCAAACTTTAACAAAGTCTTACATATTTGTATCATTAAACTCAAATGGAGTTTTGAGCCAGGTTCTGATTGCTGAATTCTGACTCTCTGGTTTGAAAGTGTGTATCAGCCCTAGGGAGGCAGAGACAGGTGGATTCCTGGGAGTTCGAGGTTAGCCTGGTCTACAGAGTGAGTTCCGACAACTAGGGCTACACAATGAGACCCTGTCTCGAAAAATTCAAACCAAACCAAACCAAAACAACAAAAAATGGTGTATGAACTGCAGCCATCTTGCAAAAACATAAATATATATATATAATAATGAAAATGTAAGTCACCCAAAAAGCCTATTTTCCAAAGATAAATTCTAGTAGCATTTAGTGTGGTTAATTGTTAGCTTTGTGCACATAAACAAGGACCTCATCCATTCAAAACGCCGAGGGCTTACTCTACCAACTGAACTCTCCCCAGCCAGGATTATCAAACTTTAATTAATTAATTAATTTCTTTGTTGTTTATGTATAGGGTTGCTCATGTGCCACGTCATGTACATGGAGAGCTGACTTTACCACCTATTTGTTTGTCTGTCTGTCTATCTATCTATCTATCTATCTACCTACCTACCTACCGACCTACCTACCTACCTACCTACCATCCTTCTCTCTACCGTGTATGTGCATGGTCATGCCCGTAGAGGTCAGAGGACAACTTGCAGGGCTGAGTTCTCGCCTTCCACTCTGCGGATCTGGGGGATTCGATTTTCCTGTGAGAATTTTGTTAAAAGTCTGCTCATACACCACCGCATGAGTTTAATTTGGTCTTTTTTGGTGGTTGTTGGTGGTTTTTCCACCAGTCTCTCTCTAATCTAGGCTGTCCTCAGACTCACCGTGTGATCAACAATGACCTTGGATTTCTGATGTGCCGCCCCCACCTCCTGAATGCTAGAATTAAAGTCAGCAGCTACCACACCCAGCTTTTGTGTTGCTGGCGTGGAATCCAGGCTTCCTGCATGCGAGTCTAGTGCCCTACCAACTGTGCCCCCTTGCCTGCTAGCACATGGGCTTTTACAGCTGCTAACTAGTCTATCATAGGAGTGTGTGATAGCTTGGCCATTTCCTGAGTGGGCATCTTAGCGACCATAAATAACACCGAAAAGAGCCATACCATGATACATGTAAATAATTGCACTGATTATTCTACTTTTTGGCAGAAGTGACTGGATGTCAAATCATCTACTGGCTCAATGAATGTAAACACTTCAGACTTCTCCACACAATGCCAAATAGCATTCAGCCATCCCTGTCTCCCTGACCAACTAACTGAGTAGCTGGAAGGACTTGCCCCTCCCCCCACCCCGGCTTTAAGTCTTGTAAGAATTACTTTTAGTAATTATACCTTTGTGCACACCTCACTATTAGTACCATGTCAACTTTCTATAACTGAAAAAAAAAATTCAGAGCCAAGGTCTATCTCAGTGGTAGAATGTTTGTCTAGCACGTGCCAGGCTCCAGGTTTCATCCCCAGCACCACACATCAGCAGAGCAAACACTCCCCAGAACCTCTCGACTGTGTGTAGGCTGAAGTTTACTATTTATGGAAGCAGCGTGCGGCGGGAGCATGGGTAACTTGGATTCCAGTGATTTCTTTGTGCGCCTACGTGTGCTAGGCACCATGCCAGGGGCTTTTTTTGTTTATTACTGCTGCAACCACACCTTCAGAATGTAGGTGCTATCCTGTCCCGTATCCCTGTGACATGCTGAGGAGAGAGTGCTGGTCAGTTTGCATGGTGAAGACAGGTACCAGGTCATTTGACATGAAACCTAGCATGAATCTATTTGTGTATTGAACCCTACCTCAAAGGGCTTAAGTGGAACTGATCTATATACACACATATATAGCATACATCACATGATATATGTCTATATGAAATATGCACATATATGTATGTACATATATCATCACATGTAATTATATGTATATATGTATGTCATAAGATGAAAACTAAAATTCACAGCTTACCAGTTTTTTTTTTAGACATAGTTTCATGTAGTGTAGGCTGGCTTTAAACTCACTATGTGGTCAAGGATAATCTTAAGTTTCAGATCCTTCTGCCTCCCCCTGAGGGCTGGTGTTACAAATGTACACCATCATACCCTGTTCTACTTAGTGCTGGAGCAAAACCCACGGCTTGGTGGGTTTGCCTAGCAACTGAACAACATCAGCAATCAGGTCTACCAAAGTCTTATTACATTTATTTATTTATTTAGCTATTTTTACTTTACCTTATGTGTATGAATGTCTTCCTTGCATACACGTGTATATACCACATGCATGCCATTTGGCTCCTCTGGAGCTGGTTGAGAGTCACCACGTGGGTCCTGGGAATTGAATGCAGGTCCTCTGCAAGAGCAACAAGTCCCTTAATCACTGAACCATCTCTCCAGCCCCCACATTCACTTATTTTAGTCTATAAGTGTTTAAGAGTATACATATTGGGCTGGGCGTGGTGGTGCACGCCTTTAATTGCAGCACTAGGGTGGTAGAGGCAGGCGGATCTCTGTGAGTTTCAAGGCTAGCCCGATCTACACAGTGAGTTCCGGGGCAGTCAGGGCGACATAGGGAGACCCTGTCTCAACAAAAGAAAACAACAACAACAACAAAATGAGTGTACCTGCCGTGGTGTGAACGTAGAGGTCAGAGGACAGCTTGCAGGAGTCGGTTCTTTCTTTCCACCGTGTGTGTACCTGCCGTCTCACCCATCCCCACTAAGGTTTTAAAATCCCTGGGTAGGATAAGCCACACTGACCTACAAAGCTCAACTCTCTGAAATCCCAGTCTACCTGAAGAACTCCAGAGGCCCTGCTCCTGGTCTGTGTGACAGGTGGTCCTTTATCTAAAGGTAAAGCCAGCAGGGGGAGGAATGGTGCCTGACTATTTGCCTTCTTGGTCAATCAGCTTGACTGAGAGGGGCAGCAGAGAGGGCAAGACTTGGAGGAGTGATCCTTCTTGGAAGGGGAGCGTCTTCAGTTAGGATTCTGACCGTGCCCATAAACCACCAATGTGCGCACTGGGAATCGGTTCTGACAGCTTGAGGCGGTTTACTCCTTTTGTTTGTTTGTTTGTTTGTTGCTTGTTTTATTGTTTGTTTTTGAGATAAGGTGTCACTACTCCAGGATAGGTTCCACTATCTCTAGAATCTCTAGGAAGAGCAGTCTGACCTCAAACTCACAGAGCTCCAGCAGCCTCTGCCTCAAGTGCTGCCATCAAAGGTGTGGACCACCATAGGCATGCTACTTTTATTCTTTGTCTCTATGACATGCGAACACTGGCTCTTGGATCTACATATATGAGTGTTTTGTCTGCATGTGTGTATGTGTACCATATGTGTGCTTGGTGCTCGAAGAAGGCAGAGGAGGACATCAGATCTCTTGCATCTAGAGTTTATGATGGCTATGAACTGTCATGTGGGTGCTGGTGGATTAAACCCTGATCTTTAACCCCGAGCCATCTCTCCAGACCCGGGCAGCAATTTCATTAGTCTCAAAACAAAAACAAACAACAACAAAAGAAAAATAAACTGTTTACAAACTCGTCTGCTCTTCTTTTGGTAAGCTCGCAGGCCAGAGGAAGGGGGTCTGAGCAGTCAGACTTTTCCGTTATCCCCCCACTTCACCCCATTGTAGGAAGCCTGAAGCTCTTAGCTCAGCGGGGCCTTAGAGCATATCCTAAGCTGCACCAGGATTGTCAAGGGCATGGTGGGGTGGACCTGGCTCCTAGTGTTGGGTTTGGCTGGCTGTGTCTAACTTCTACTCCATTGTGTTAGTTTCCTCGTTTCCTGTGTTAGCTTAGGCGTATTTGTGATTAGCCTTTAGGAAAACTTTCAATGGAGGTCGGTCGGGAAAATTCTGCCACTCTTCTAAGTAGGCAGTGGTCTTATTGGGATAGTTAAACACTCTACCTATCTCTCTGTCTGTCTGTCTATCTATCTATCTATCTATCTATCTATCTATCTATCTATCTATCT